ATAGCTGAACTCCAATTTTACCACTTCCATCATAATTCTCATCAGGGGTGACTCCTATTTCAAAGTTTTGCTCTCCCCTCTTAACCTTAAGCAAAACATATCTCTTAGGGTTCTTCTTAATGACATCAACGACTTCAGAAACTGCATTGGGACCTGGTTTTGGAAACTCATTTCCATTGACCTCAAGGATCACATCACCAGGAAGCAAACCATCTCTAGAAGCAGCTGAAAAAGGTTTAACTTCAGGAACAATTACACCAGGAAAAACCTCTTGCACAGGCAAACCAACAGCAAGGACTTGAACAAAGACAATGACAATTGCAAAAATGATATTAGCTATAACACCAGCTGAAACCACAATGACTCTATCCAATATTGGTCTGTTCTTTAGTAAGTTTTTATCATCAGCAGGAATATCACTATCTGGATCGTTATCAGGAAATCCAACAAAGCCACCAAGAGGAAAAGCTCTAATGGAATACTCTACATTGTTTGCATTGAACTTAGCTAAAATTGGACCAAACCCAATTGCAAATTTACTCACATGGATTCCTTGGAGAGAAGCAGCAAGGAAATGACCACTCTCATGAACAACAATGATTGCTGTTAAAACTGCAACAGCTTCAATCACAGACTGAGGACCCTCAAAGTTTCCATAATCAAATCCAGGAATAGCCCATGTCCTAAAATCATATTTTTTTGCATGTTTGAATCTACTATTATTGTTGCCATGTAAAAACTGTTTCTTGGTGGTGAAGTTCAAGTTTGGGGAAGCAAACGAAGGAGTAAAAAGTGATTTTGAGAAGTGGGTTTTGAGCTTGAAGGAAGGTGTTGAAATGGGTGACTTAGAATTTGTCAATTTGATGATGGAACTGGAATGTGAAGGTGGAGAGGGAGAGAGGTATATGACCATGGCTTTGGGATATTTTGGAGTGGTAATAAAGCTTGGTGCGGGTTTGAGAAGGGTGGACAACATAGAAAGTGGGATATGGATAACTCTTTCATGGTGTTTTTTGTTTCCCCTTTTTTATTATTGTGTTGGACCTGTGGTGGAGAAGTAAGGACATGTCTTCCTCTTATTTTCCACAAGTTGTTCTGTCTGTCATGTCTGGATTCTCTTCATCAAACCTTTCATTCCACAATTAAAAACCAAGCCCAGAACAGACACTTTTCAACCGGTTCAATCCAATGGGCCAGAACTGACCGGTTCAGACCCATCAAAACATAATGGTATAAAATGGGCCAATTTTGAGTTTGTATTTTAATATGAAAGTTATTTATTTGTTCCCATCTGTTCCTTCACCATACTTTAGAAGTGTGCAACAATTCCTCTCAATAAATGTTACTTATAAGAATTAAATCTTGATTTTTTATCATTTTAATGATCTAGCATAGCCTTACACTAATAGAAAAATTATTTGTTGTTAGTTATTTTTTGCTCTGCTTAAATATAATGAATTCTTTCATGCTTGATTCCTGTGGCTGTGGTATGGAGCAAATTAGCTTTCAAACGTATTTTTGAGTGTATTCACATTATTTTTCCATAAAACAATTCAATTTTTTAATTAAAAAAAATCACTTGTGAGGATTGAGATATATTTAAATAAGATTTTTTCAATAATCAAATTCTCAAATTCTAAAAATAAATCATTTTACCACAATTTAATTCGAGTAGCTTATGATTAACATGACTCATAGACTAAATGTCTTTTAATTTGAATGTGATTCTTATGGGGGTGGCTTTAATTTGAATGGGAGAGCAAAATGAAGATGACAAAGATCATATATTATATATCCAAATCCTGATTTTGATTATATTAGGAGATGACAAAGGTTAGAGGAGAAAGGGATTATAATCATATCATCAACTACGTAAGAGTAGTTGTGCAGTTCTGCTCCGACCCCTGACCCACGGGAAAGAACAGGAAAATTCTACTGTGAAAATGAACAATTATCAATACGAGAACCCCACTGAACAATTTTCTACCACTCCATGTAACAACTAACAAGTATGATGAATCTATGATGCTACTCTCGCGTCATTGATTGGAAAATAAGATTGATCATTTTTATATACTATCACTTCAAAGTTAGTTGTCATGGATAAAATGATTTAATAATGAAGAAACTTTTTTATATGTAATAATGAGAACAAATTCAGTTGACAATGTATTAATTAAAAGAAAAAAAGTATGGCAATAAAGTGTGAATGTATCATCTAACATTCATATTTAATGATTATTGATTCTTCAAACAAAATAGTCTATATAACAGTGAATTATATAGTGACCGCGTCTAAATCTTTACACCAATATTATATATATATATATATTGACTCTCGATTGAATCCTTTATTTTTCCATGAGTAATGTTATATTCTCCTACTAAATCATCCTACTAATCCTACTACCCACAAAAAAGTGACATATGTCACAAAGTGATACTTTATTTATTAGTGATTTGTTTACAAGTGACATATGTTACTTTCTTGTGGGTAGGATGATTAGTAGGAGGATATATCATTTTCCTTTTTCTATACATGATGTAGTACTTTTTCTTGATTTGAGGTTAATTTCATTTTTTCTCTCGATATAAGCAAAGTCCTACTTACAAAATAATGGTTAACAGAAAAGTCAACACAGTTCCAATTCTATTATTCTAAGAATGATTCATTGTTACACTCTCTCTTCCACAATTCCATCCCTAATTCTTAGGGTTTCATCAAATCAACAGTAAAAAAATTAGAAAGCTTTCTTTTCACCTTCAATTTCCAATTTCTCGATCTCGAACCAAAAGAATTCTACTGCCCTTGATGTAAGCTCTCTTTTGTCATGAGTTCAAAATCAAACCAGCCATTGAATGGTGTGTGAAGCTCTCTCTTGTTATTGATGGGAATCAATTATTTGTTGATCCCAAAAACCTTAGGAGGCTTATTAGAAATAAAAAACTCATAGAACCTGATCGAAACCAAAAATTAAAATAACAAATATAGAGTAGTTTTGCCAGTAAAAATATGAGTTGATTAATTATGGTTAAATTTAGGACCACATTAAACACCGTCCTCTATGTATCCCTAACTATTCTTCTTTTTCCCATTGACCTACTTAATAATATAAATCTTTAAAGATGAAGACATAGTTGGGGAATCCTCATAATTCACAAGGCCAAACCCTACCGCTATCAATGTATATGAGGACAGAACTGATGAACTAGAAATTAATGCAAACACAACATAAAGGAATGGGTAACAGGTCCCACTTGAGTTTGCACTTCAAGATTATAGCTATTTTTCTGAATAGCTCAAGGATGAATAATTCCTTTCATTTAATTCTGTTAGTGTCCCCTCACCCTCTCATCATCATTATCATTATTCCTCTCATGCTTAAATATCATGCTTTTCCCTCAGTAATGGTACACCCCCACCCCCTCAGGTCTGCACAGAATTTATAGTTCCATGTTCATATATTTATTACTTGCTAAAATTTGCTTAGATATTTGTGGCCATTAAGAATCATTTGAGATTGTATCCGAGTTAGTGAATTATAATGAAGATGATTGTGAGATGACCCTCTATAATGAAGATGTAAAGAATTAATTTCATTTGTAGTGTGTGACTGTCTCTTGTAATAATTGTCGCACCCAATAATACCTTTTAGTTTATGTGGATCAAATATAGTCTTAGACTAAGGTCTTGTTGACAACCAATTTATAAGTTATAATTTAATATAGGGACAGATCCACTTACTCCAAGAGTGAGTGAAAAAGACTTACTCAACATCCTACCAATCCAATCTTAGAAAATTCAATGGTTTAGATGTACTCACCAATTCAAACCATTGGATTTCCCAAGAATGAATGATCATGATGTGGAGTAGGTTTTTTTTCACTTACTCTTAGAGTAAGTGGATCACTTCCCTTTAATATAATATGCTTTTGCTTAGTATCTTTATATATGACTATTTAATGGTATATAGTGTGTATATATTCAAAAAAACATGTATGGTTGTTGATGATAACCTAAGCATTAAAATCTGTGAGTAAATGATATACCTTAGTTAGGGGTGGACCTCTATTTTCTCTTCCCTTAAATTAAACTTGACTAGCTAGCTAAATTGTTTTTAGGCTTCTTTCTATTTTATAACAGATAATGCAATAGAATAATCAATAATATAAATATTCAGTGCAACGTTCTTATGGCCGACCTGATACGCCAATTTTACCTACTCCTAGTGACGTTAATATGCACTATATATGCATATTTTATGATATAATTGTTAAACTAGCTTTACCCATAGCCATATGCTAATAATATAGCAATAACTCACTCAAACTGGAAGCATAAGTTTGAATATCCATGTTGATAGATGTTGTGGTTCCAGGCTCATAAACATATTAAAGGGCAGTACATACCTATATATTTAGGTCAAGAAGAATAGTCTTGATAGCAAGTGCAACCAAAATATAGATTTTAATTTTATAACATAGACACACATATATTGTCTTCCATTTATCTTATAATGGTTTCTCCATTAATCACACTATGTCTTCTGCATAATTAATTCATCCATCCCACGCCCTAATTCCAGTATCTCCTATAAAGTTTATGGGTCTTTGGCTAGATTTCTTTTGATTGAGATCAGTATTGGTATCACTGTGATAGTAGTATTTAGTACCAATAGAGACTTATATATATATACATCATACATGATTGCATATTATATGATCTGAATATGACCTTACACATAGATGATAGATATATTTATATTTATATTTCTACACAAATACCTAAAATAAATATTAATCGATCATAATGGGGATATGCAAAGACAGTAAGAGAAGCAAGGTTATTCTATGCATAAGAAACAAAACAATATATGAAGAAAAATAAGAACAAGGAAAGGAAAACGAGATAAAATATGAACATTGAACAAATAATTGTTACATATATACATACATACCCGGGATTTGAGATTGAGGAGGGGTGGAGATGGAAATTAGGAAGTGCAAAATGAGATATTGACGCGGCTCAATTAAACTACAAGACTGGTTTTCATGATAGCCATGTCTTCAAATTGAGGCGCGCCAATACCTTGTTTTGTGTCTTTATATTAGCACTTTCACATCACCACCTCTCACCCTTATAGAGGCTATGCTCCTTTTGATATTTGATGATTTATGCTTTTCCCTGCATCTAGAATCAGCTTGGTTAATTTCCATGGCATAATTGAGATATGCCTTATATATATATTTTGCGGAGAAAACATGAATTACTGGGTGTGATTGTGGGAGAAGAGAAGAAAAGCTGATTTTGATCAAAATCGATTACTGACTTGTGCTTATGTACGACTTATACAGTGTTTGACTAACCCATTTTCTATCTTCCACGAAGCTATCACGCCACCACGTAGGGACCCTATATATATATTCCTTTGCATTTAATGTTTTTTCTTCTTGCATTTCTAAGTGGTTGAGTTTGGTGAATCTTAAAAAAATAAGTGTATTGAGATTTTTCATCAAACAGACGGATAATAAATTATTTATTTTTAATCTACCAAAATAAATTGATCAATTAAGAGTTTTTTAATCTTCACAATTATTTTCTATGTCCAATCCCTAAACTTGGATCATTAAACTTGGACAAGTATTGGGTTTTAAATTTTATAAATGCTTTCTTTTGTTGAGAGAATTAGATTTAAAAGGGAAAAAATAGATTTAAAAATGTGTTTTTATTTTTAAGTTAGATAAAGAATTAAAGAGGATGATTTGGTAAGAGTGTAAGACATTAAAGTAGTTTGTTTAATTTATATGGTATATTTTTGAAAAAAGGAAGTTTCTAGAGATGTTTGGTAAGAATATTTTTGGAAAATAATCTTTGACTTGATAAGTGGTAGAGGTAGTTTATAGTTTTTTACAAGTTAAGATGATCTTGTAGTTTCAATGGAGTTGGAATAGTAAGGTATGTCCTTGAATTTTCTTTCCTTTTACTTCATTTTGCCCAAAGCCCCAAAGGGTTAAAAGGAGATAGTGTATAAATTTGCTAGCCAACTTGCTTCTCTTTCCCAAGAAGATCTCATATGAAGGAATTTATGATTCTTTTCGATTTTATCTTTGTCAATTTTCAAAAACAATAAATTTTTTACCCCTAATTAGTTATCTTAATTATATGCATTTCACTAGTTATCTCACTTTTCTATTAATTTAAGGAATGCAATTTACTCTATTACTATGGTATATTTTGGTATTCTTATTTATTATTAACTAAACAATGTATAGAGAGACCTGAACATCTAATTTACATATATATGATTAACTAATTTTATTCAACTGTCCCCATTCAATCCTCAACTAACTACTTGTCAATTTCTAATTTTAGTTAGGGAGTCACTTTTTTCAACTTTAAAATAAACCTGTAGACAATCATGCATCCATAAAAAAAATTCTAATGTAGATGGACGTATTAAAATATTTTTGAATAAAAAAGTTTAAATAAATTCTATTCAAAACCAAGTTGTTAAAAAAAATTATCATTATAATTATAGAGAATAAAGTACATCCATAAACCATAATATGTATTTATTATTTGACATGTGTCTTATTTATATTTTCTGTAGAAATTATATCTTAGTATGTTGATATACTTTATTCTTATAATTATATAATGTTCATATATTATCTTATCTTATATAAACAACGTTTAGCACGAGAAAGAAACTTTGACGGCTATATATATAAAAAACTTTGACAATTGACCAAGCATTTAACCGTAACACATTTGGTAATTTAGTATGATATATAGGAATGGATATTTTAGCATTATATTAGGTCATCAATTTTTGTTATGTGTATAAAAAAAATGTTTTATTAATTAAAGACAAAAACTTACTTGAATGATCTTTTTATGAAAAATCATCATTATTTGACTTTAAGTTGAAAGACACCTTTATCAGTAAAAACGGATTTTAATCTTAATAATGCTTTACTTAAACAGATTTTTATAACGGCTTCATCCTGTCATCCATAAATAATTTATAAGTACTTTTACAATAATTTAACTTAAACTAGTTGAAAAAAAGTTCATGTAAGTTTTTTAGTGTCACTAAAGTATTCTCTCAGCTTTTTTCGTAATTTCATTTAAATAAGTTATAATTTGAATATGCATCTTGGACGAAATATTAGGTCATGGTAAAAACTGTTTTGTTACCCTTTTTGTTTTTTAAAAAGCGCATACTTGATTACTTGGTAAAATAGTACCTATGTAGATATTAATTAAAATTTTATTTAGTGCACCTACCACTCTGGACCACTGACAATAGGACAATCCTATTAACAGTTGGAGAATATAAATTGAGGTCTTGATGTTGTGTCTAGAGTATATCTACTAAAGGGTTTAGTATGAAGTAGATATATTAACATATAACACACAAAATTGAAGGGTCCAAATATTAAATATTCCCTACTCCATAATTCCAATCCTATGCATCATTAATCAAAGTGGAAATCAATTAAAAATGACATACATATTATTTCTACTATCATTTGTAGAAGGATTAACACTATGGACAAGTTTATTTTTTATTTTAGCAACACTCCACCATTGGCCTTGATGTTACGGCACTGACAAATGCTAATTTTGACACAAGAACAAATGGGTCTAAAGTGGAACAGCAACCTTTTTTCTTGTCCGTGCTTTACTAGGATGTATATTGGGGATAGGCTCGCCCAACCAAGGTTCATTTTTTTGCAAGTGGTTGTATCATTGGAGAACATATTTTGCAGCTTATCAATCTGAAACTGCTTTCAGATTTATGGTTCCGTGGATCTTGGCTCATTATTTTAGTCACTTCGGTGGAGGATGGGTGGAATATTCATATTACGGAATATAGGGAAAATCAACTTACAATATTAAATTGAGCTAACAGTATTATATTGTTAACAAATATTATGTCATTTTAATAATAGTACAATATGTGATACAAATTTTTTTTACATGGTCAATGTATCATTAACATTTATGTGTATTGATTCACTTATTAGTAAATGATAATTAATTAGAAAAAAAATGTATGATGTGACAATGTATGAGTTTTATACACTATCATTTATTGTTTATCACTCATATTTTATCATGAATAGCTCTTTATAAATAGTAATACAAAAATACAAATAAATGATAAATAATATATTAATTATATATAAATATATACACATAAATATTACATTAAATTAATTAATATATAAATAATGTATCATTTAGGGTGTGTGACTTCCATCCACTTAGTTTAGAAAAGAACTATTTTCCGGCCAAGTCTAAGATGCGAACTAATAATTAGTTCGCTTGGATGCGAACTAATACAGAAGTCGGTTTGGGCCTCACCGACTTCTATATATAAGAAGTTTTTTCTGGAACCGACTTCTATATAAAAGTCGTTTTAGGCAATGTTAACATTAACACTGCAGCACATCTGGTAAATCATCTCGATTCGAACCCATTCCACAAACTATAAAATCCTGCTTAACTTACCAGATGTGCTGCAGTGTTAATGTAAATATTGCCTAAAACGACTTCCATATAGAAGTCGGTTGCAGAAAACACTTCTTCTATATGGGCCAAAGTTAACAAGGCTCAAACCGACTTCTGAATTAGTTCGCATCAATGCGAACTAATTATTAGTTCTCATCTTAGAAATGGCCTATTTTCCTTTTACACTCAGACACAACCCACGTATATTTGGTGACATGTACTCACCTACTTTCTCAATTTACCTGACACTTCATTTATGCTGTATACACAGAAAACAAACAGGTTCGTTCCAGTAAAAAGGAAGAAAACAAAACAGGTTCCGAAAGGTAACTAACAATCTCTTTCTTCATGGTTGGCAAATTTTGTGATTCATATTTGTATAAATAGTTAATTCCTGATCCTCCAAGCAAATCCTTTTATCAATTGAGTCGCAATTTTGTATATTATCTCAATAAGTTTTATATATCTAACGGTGTTTGGACAATATTGTATACAGTGTGTAACCATATGGGCCAACTTGCTTTAAATCTTGCTAAAATTGCTATATTGGATAAATTCGACTAATAATCCCAATTCAAATTTCAACCATTTTAAATTAGACTTACAATTAAAGTCATTTTCTTAATTTTGATGGCTGGCACAAATATGATGACAGGTTGTAGTAGCAATAATGGTTGTCATGGTTACAACATTAATTATATTGATAATGATAAATTACAATAACAAAGTGATGGTAGTAGTCATGATGATTAAAGTGATGGTGAGAACAACAATAATGAAAGCTGAGGAGTTACAATGGCGAGGAAGGATAGTGGTGCAGGTGATGACGATAATGAAGACAACAATAATAACAAGGTTGCCATTGTTGTAACGATAATGATAATGATAATGATAATATGATGATATCAATATTGATAGAGGTGACAAAATAGTTGTGCCAAAAACAATAGTAATAAGAATGACAAGGCATAACTAATAAAGATGGTGGTCATGATCATATGTTGTTCATTCCATCTCTTAATATATATCAAAAATACCTGTTAAGATGATGGTTTACTTATTGAGAAAAAAAATTAAGCTAGTTATAAATATAATTCCATGGGAACTGTAATTACATTTTCAAACTTAATTTCAGGTACTTAATTAAGATATCAAACTTTCTTTCATTATATTGATTTATAAGAAGATAAAAATTAGCCGTTTATAATTTAATTTATAAAATATAAAATTTAAAAATTAATTGTCTTAATATTATTAAAAACTAAACAGATTAACTTATAATCAATTATAAATGTATTCTAATTTTCACTGCTATACCAAACTACAAACGCACACTCAGTATTGAGCTTAGCCTTTCTACTTTCACTTGAATTCTTCAATTCAACATAACATTTCAGTAGGCCCAAGCATTCACACTGTTTTGGGCTGCGATTTGGGCCGAATGTACTTCTGTTTCGGTTTTGATCAACCCAAAAGTTTTTTGAGGTCACTTTCCAAAGGACCATGTATATAGAGTGGTCACTTTCCACTTTCTATACATTTTTTAATCACTTTTAGATTTTCATAAAAATATGATAAA